CAGCGAGCCTCTTGCCTGGAAAAATAGAAATCTAATAAGTTTTATGTCAATATATCCAATGATCAGGTTTAGAAAACTGGTCAAGCAAGTTAAGTTTAGTGTTCTCTGCTCAAGCAAGTTAAGTAGTGTTCTCTGGTCAAGCAAGTTAAGTTTAGAAAACTGTCAATATGAACCACATATTACATAATACGTACACGGAACTCCTAATGATCAATGGCTAAAATTGAGAGTGTAATGATATATAACATGTTATATTGTGAATTAGATGGAGAAATGATCAGGTTGATTGTTGCATAAATGTTCCGTCCAGATTAAATTTGGCAACATAAGCATCTTATGTACAAAACAAATCACCTGAATTGATTCATAACCATGTCCAAGATCTTGATAGATAGTGCCCAAGCCTAATGCAATGGTAATGTAGACAGCCAGGCGCAACCAGTAGTAGCCTCGATCTCGATACATGTTCACGAAGGATCTTCTTGTAAGTACGAAAGATTGTGTAAGAAAGCCAGCATGGCTTCTCTTCTCCAATTCTTCACCGACATCCTAAATTTCATATAAATTTATGTTAGTCATAGGTTTTGGCCCCTCCCATGATCCTGGGAATCAACTACCATTTGAAAGGATAGTGAATTGGAGCTATATATGAATCTGATTACTAGCCTATACCTGCTTACATAGTTCAGCTACTTGTCTTTGAACTTGCTGATAAGTTTCAGATGCTTTATAGGACTTTATTAGAGTATCAATCGCTACTTCTGTGGGTGTGTGTCCAACCATGCCTTGTTCAATGTCCTAAAAAATGAACAGTTTGGATCATGAGATTACATTTTGGATGGGCTCAATGAGCGTATGAGCACTCTTGATTACCACATAAAGAGAAAAGTTGCAATCAAATACGACTAGGACTTTACCAAAAAAAAAAAAAAGGCTTACCTGCTCAAAATCTTTGTTTATAGTCTTAAGGAAGTGATCTGATGGATTTTGGAGAGTTGGGCAAGGGAAACCACATAAAGAGAAAAACTGCAATCATTTGAAAATAACAGCAGTTAACCCTACAGCTACGGATCCAAATTTAGAAATATTAAGCTCGGGAAATTAAGCTAGTCACCTGATTTGCTGCAGAAGCAGGGCCAAAATAGACAGTTCTTCCGGCCGACAGAAGGCAAAGATTGTCGAAAAGTTGGAAGACTTCAGAGCTAGGTTGATGGATGGATGTAATTACAGTCCTTGGAGTTCCATCAGTTTTATCCAGGTTTGCAATTCTGCTCATGACATAATAAGAAGCTGCACTGTCAAGGCCACTTGTTGGTTCGTCGAGGAAGAGAAGATTTGGGCGTGTAAGAAGCTCAATGCAAATGCTCACTCTCCTCTTTTGCCCACCACTGAGGCCTTTAGATCCCCACCCTCCAATCCTTGTGTTCATGGCATCTTGCAAACCCATCTCTCTTATTGTGATTTCTGCTCTCTCTTTCTTCTCTGCCTTGGCCATGGAGTCTGGCAATTGCAACTGAGCTGAGTAGTATACGGCTTCGCTGACCGTTAAAGTTGTGATCAAAGTATCATCTTGTGTCACATATGCCTGTGTTGATGATATTTAAATTATGAAAAGAGATATTGAAAGCTTTATAAATTACTCGTATTTATATCTTCATTAAGCCAAAAGAGAAAGGTATTATGATATATAGTTCTTGATCTTCCTACCGAAGTTCCATATGCCAGTGCTTGTTTTTGCCCATTGATTAAGATCTTCCCTGTTTTCCTTGTGTTTGAACTCAATCTCCCTGCAGTATGAGCACATGACTTAAAATTAGACCTGTGCTTAGGGTTAATCCACACTATACACAATTAAATGGTCCCATAGTGTCTTTAATTTAGTAACCATACACTGGTGGAATTTTTTAGACGGAGGTGCAATTTTGAAAGGCTAAAAGTTTTATATATAACAACTGACAATCAAATATCCTTATAATTTGAACAATACCAATGTCATTCATAAGTCATAGAAAAAAATAGCACAGTCCCTTTCTCCTGGACTCCGTGGTTCAAGGGACTTGTGGTCACTTACCCTTGGATCTAATCTAAGGGTTCAGAAAAAATTACTTAAAAATCAAGATATTCATTTAACTTAATCAAAAACTGAAATTTAAAAAATAAATAATAAAAGTTCACTGGAACAAAAACACGTTCAGAGGAGAAAATCATGAACGTGTTCTTCCTCCCATCGCCGCCACAGAACCTCCTATTCCGGCGTCGTAGACGACCCTCTGCAAACATGATGTTACTCAAGCCACCCATAGTCAGTTCAATGCAAAGGCATAATCTGATTTTTTTTTTTTTTTTTGGCAGACTTGAACAGTTTCTAATTTGTGCTCTTTCACTTTTTCAGTTTCTATATACATTTGGTTTCCTCCTCTTTTACTGGTTAACATAGTTTCCATGAATCTTATACCATCGAGAAGCGGTCTTGGGTAGGCATCCTCCAATTACATCATCTGAATTTTTTTTTCTTTTTTGCAGACAATCATTCATTTGTTTCTTTAATTCTAGTTTTTTCTTTGTTTATTACATATCGATTGCGTTAAATTGCGAGGGGATAGGTTGATTTGGATTTTCGTCTAGGACGCCAGAGTCGGGGTTACTGTGGCGGCGAGGAAAGGAAGAAATTCAGATATTTGACCGTAGCATTTACTTTTAACAAATAACAAATCGTCACTATTATTAAGTTACGTAAGAGAAAGAAATTCGGGAATCACAGAAAATATCTCCATTCTAGCTATTATTGGACAAATAAAACAACGTTAAATATTATGTGGAAGCTAGTAAGCCATTATATTCCTGTTTTGTTTTATTCTAAATTATTCATCAGTAACTACAGTACACTACGATTTTGTAATTTTGTACACGTTTTATGATACTAAGACTTAAAGTCGTCTTTGGCTTCAAAAAGTAGGCGTCACTTACTATCAACGGTGTAGATTACCCCACATCCCACAATAGCTTATCCAATGGTCTATAATAGTGGCGCATCCATGCGCAGGGCGCACCGTAGAATTTTCCGGGTCATTTGGCCTTTGATTACATAAAGAATCTTTTCATAAATTATACATACTATTTAATTATTGATGTCAAGGATTCTTACAAGAACACATTTTGACCTTCGGCACGTTGCCCCACAGAGGAGTGTGAAATGGCTCTTGTTATTTGGTTTAGTTGTCTTGTCATGTCCAGCGACCAAGAAGTCGGTGGCTTTCTCCTCGAATCCTATTGACTTTAATATGGGGAATGCTATCAATTTTTTCTCTAACCTTCTCTTTTGGATCTTCTCTCTTTCCTACATGACATGTGTCATTTTTATTACACTTAAACCAATGTTGTTAATGCATAAGACAACCTAACTTTTGCTTCCAAATTTACCCTTATGCCTTAAATATATTGACACTGACATGGTTAACTCCAATTTTTGTTTTTAAACAAAAAAACTAATCTTATCTCTCTCCCTGATTTTCTCCCTCGCCCCCTCACCCACCTTCTTCCCAATCCCCAACCCACACACCCCAAAAAAATTCTCAACATACCCAACATTCCCCACAAGTCCCTCCACTCATCTCTCTCTCTTCCCTATTGGAAGACCCAATGAAAACCCAGCAGATCCTTGCATCTCAAAGCATCAAATAAAATTTGAGAGTGAATCTTGATTATAGGATGGCTTGTACACCCCAACCTCAAATTATCAAACAATATCATTAAATTTCAAATGGGTAAATTCCAGATATAATTTGGGTAAATCCAAATTTCAAAATTCAAAGTTTCAACCTTTTAGCAAGAATGGGTTGTGATTGGGCTGCCAAAGGTGGGTGAGGATGGGTGACTGTTGGGTGAGAGTGGAGGGGTGAAGAGGGGTAGGGTCGGGGCCAAATTTCCGGGGAAGAAGGGACGAGTAGAAGAAAGAGAGAGGAAGAGGGAGAAGGAGAGAGAGAGAGAGAGAGAGAGAGAGAGAGAGTCAAAACCCGTACAAACGTTTAGTTTTTTCTAAGGGCATATATGGAAATATAATTAAAATATTTTTTGTAATTAATGACATTGTTTTAACTAAGAAACAAATGACACATGTCATTAAGAGAAGGGAGAAGGTCCAAATGAGAAGGTTAGAGAGAAGGTTGCTAGCATTCCCCCTTTAATATATGTATATTTGCTTTAACGCAAATGCGCGGCCATGCGTGTGGCCATCAAGGAAGAATTTTTCTAAATAGCTTATATAGGTGATCAAAATGCCCATGTGGCCACTATAATTCGGTTTTATAATTGATGGAGGTGGCCATATGCTAGTAGCCAAAAACTCAAATGGGTTTTTCCTCCTTCAAATCAATCTTATACTGTTATGCTCATAATTTCATACACATACATGCCTTATTTATTTAGTCTTTTTCTTAGTTTCTTAGAATTCTGAGTCCTTTACTTTTCTTTGTGTGTTTTGTAGGTCAATAGAGCAACAGAACATAATTCATGCAATTCAAGCATGTTAAGACTTGATTTGGATGAATGGAAGAACAGCTTAAAGACAAACCCAATTTGTGCTACACTCCCTTGTTAGTCTAGTTTTGTAGGTCAAATTGCATGCCTTATTTCAGCAATCTACACAGCTCAAATGAGGAGACATTCTCGAGTAAAGTTGGTCCAACGGGTCTCTACTACAACATATCCAAAATGGAGCCTAATTAGAAGTATATGGAGTCCTCAGCCCACCAAACATTGAATCATGCTCAGGAGGAATTTTGTTTGCTCTCCCAAATGAGTTAGCAATTTATTTCGGCCTTAACTTCTTCCTTCGACCTTTGTTTGGCCCAAATGACATGTGATTGGAAAGATGACATTCTGAACTTCAAGATGGAGGGCTCAAAGTTGTCATTTGCTTAAGGGAATCCTAATTCGTGAGCCCTTGAAGTTTCTGGTCATGCTAACCTAAGGATGAGCTAAGTGTGCTTGGTCATTCTGACCTAAGCATGAGGTGTTATTGATGGTGGGGAAGTTAGGTGAAGAAGATTCATTGCTTATAATTGGAGTGGAGTTTTGCAGCAAGTAAAAGAAATAAAAGAAGATGAAATGGGAGCTGCAACACTAAGCCTAAAGAGAAGATAAATCGTTTTCCAATGCAATTGTGTGGTAGGTGAAGTGGGTGTGGTTGGTGAACTCAATATCCAAATCAGAATTCCTACTCACCTTAACCCTATAAATAGAGAGTCTTCAAGGGGCTGGGAAGTTATAAATTCAGATATTCATTCATATTTCATCACATTGTATACAAAGAGAGGGAGAGTTGAGAGTCACAAAGGGAGAGAAGAGAGAAGGCAACAGTTGGGAGGCTTTGGCCTCCTGGCAGCCATGGGGATGAAGCTTTTCCATCTCTAGCATGCTTTCCCTATCTTCTTCTCCTCCCTTTGCCTTTTATTTTCTTCTTATATTTCCTTAGTTTTACTTTGTTTTAATAAACACCAAGACGATTTTAAGTTTTTGAAGTTTGATTGGTTTCCAAGTTTCAATTTTAGTTCTTGTTCTTATTCACTACGCTTATAAGTTGATATGCTTGTTTGAATGTTTGATCACCATTTAAACTTGTATGTTAGCTATCTTGGTTGGAATTAAGAGTAGACACCATATGCCTTAATTCTAATTGAACTATGAATAGAAAAAGTATGTAGGGACATTCGACAACATGGATTAGATACATGCTTAGTTGTTTAAAATGTTCTCCTATACTTAATGGATTTCCAATGCTTAATTTAGGTTCGATAACAAGGATCTAATTAGGGAATTATGAATACAAGGTTTAGACCATACACCATGGCTAAATTATACATTAGAGAGAATCAATCTTTTTACTTGAATTGAACTTGTTAACTTAATTGCTTGTGTTTTGTGCAGAGAATCGAATTGAATCAATCTATCATCAATCCTCATGGGATCAACCTCGCACTTACACATGCTATACTACCCAACGGTTCGTGTACTTGTGAGTATCACAAGTTGAGAATTCAACTGAATCGATTTTGGTGCAGCTGAATCCGACACAACATATACACTAAGTGAGAAAGAAACTTCTTCCTCTCAACATTTATGAAATGACCCATGTGCATGTATTTAATTTTTAATGTATTGATAAGTGTGAAAAGCAGGATGCCAATTGACCATCACCCATCGAGGCTCCTCGCCAACGTCGAGTCCATGCTCGAGTTTCCTCGTTGTTATGGCCTTACTCAAATTTATTAATATATATTAATAAATAAATATGACAATCAAATAAAAGCTCTCTCGGTGGATCTTGGAGCTCTCATAACAACTTTCACGGATTACTAACTCTAGAATTCTAAAGGCCACAAGATTCCGCCAAATGCAAATCCAGAAACTCGGAGGTCCAAGCCCAAGCCACGGATTCAAACTCAAGATTTATGGAGGATAACATGTGTGTGACGAAAGCCTCACAAGGAAAGAAATCAAGGAAATTGAAGACAATTCGGAGTATTCCAAAACAAAAGAGGATCAAGCAATCAAAATATCTCCATCAATGTGATCCCACAGATTTAGGAGGCTTCAAAAGGAAGGAATTTCAAAGGAGCTGACCTCGGGCCATTTAATGGCCAACCCATGGGTTGGCAGAGGCCCTATATAAACCTCATCAAACGAAGAGAGGAGATACACAGACCTATTTTTCATCTCACACTTCTCTTTTCTTAGATTTAGGATTTTACTTTTCAAGCACTTAGTGTAGCAAGTTCTTCCTTTTCTTAGTGTAAGTTTAATTTCTTGCAATTTACATTATCTTGTCTTTTAAATTCAATTCTATTTCAATTGCTTTACTTTTTCATTATTATCGCATTTTCATTAAGTTTAATTTAATTTATCGTTCTTATCATTCTTATTTCATTCTTGCTTTATTTTACGTTTATTTATCTTTTAGATTTATTTTATCGCACTTTAACTATTGTTTTTTTGTTTAATCACGTCCTTAATTTATTTGCATTGTTTTTACTAAAACAAACCTAAAAATTACAAAAACATCCATACGAAGCCTAACCATCCTCGAGCCGGAGGAAGTGAAAGAACCTAGGCCAAGAGGAGGTTCTGTTAGTCTTACGGTTTTTAATATAAGCATGTTGTGCATATTTTGATGATAACAAATTATTCTTTATATATCTAATGTATTTCAAGTGTGATAAGTTGTAAGGAGCAGGTATTTCTAAATGGTTCAAAAATACTATAAATACTGGAAGACATTTGAAACATTGAGCAAGAAGCCGATACTCAAGCAAATACTTTCTTCAATACGGAAGAGTTAGATTATTCTTATAAAACTCTTTGTGGATTGGACTCTAAGGCTTTTTTACCTAGATTGACATTAGGTCCCTTTATGCATTCATATCATACATGAAAAATTATTTTATGTAAAAATATTGGCTAAATATGAAAAATGGTTTTTCGGAATAATTAATTTCTCAAGATAATTTTTGGCGGCTTTTATTCCTTACACATCAAATAAGAATACTTGATGTTATGGGATTTTAGTATGAAGTATATATTTTCTTAATGAGCCATCATTTTTAGCCTAAAACGTATTTCAATTTTTCATATTTTGATTTGGTGGGAATTTGATTTTCTAGTATTTTTATTCGAATCCAAATGAGGGGTACTTCCTTATTTACATTGTAAACTTAAGTAAATGGAGTAATATAAAAATAAATGAAAGTAAAAGGACAAAGACTGCTAAAAATAAGTTAAACAGCTATATTTTCCAACAGCTATATTTCTAAACGGATATATTCCTAATGGCTCAATTTTTCCAACACCTATATTTCTATACTTATAAATATGTCTTCAAAGTTTTTGTAAAAAGAGACAACTCAATATATTCGTCCAAGCTTACGAGCATTCATCATACTCTGAATATCATTCTCTCTTGAGCCAATCCTGTTCCAATTCATACAAGAGTTCTAGAGTCCAAATTACTTCTGTATATCCTACTCAAAAAGGAGAGTTATCATTGTGTGAGCTGACCCTCTCAAACAGGAGAAATTTTTATTTCGAGAGTTGTCTCATTCAAACTTGTAAAAGGGGTTGGTCATGACCCTGTGAGGTGAGAAGGGTGTCTTCCACCTTGTGTGAAAGAGCGGTGTGCTCTAGCTGTGTAAAGGTTTCAACTCCACCTGCAAGGAGTTTTCCAACATAGTGGATCGAACTCTCAAGTGGTGTGCTTGAGGACTGGATGTAGGTCAGTTGGACTGAACCAGTATAAATCCATGAGTTTGAATCTCTCTTTTTGTTGACACCATATGTGTTGACCTCACCTCCCCCCTTAAGCAAATCCCACCAATTAATACTACTACAAAAAGTGAAAAAGACGACCAGAAAAAGATGACGGCAAAACATAAAACCGTCGTTGTATTTAAAAAGACGAAGGTAACAAAAAAACCGTCGTGGATAAGTGCCTTAAACAACTAAAAAGTGGAGGTACTGTTGAATATTTTTAAAAGACGACGCACACTAATAAAAAAGCGTCGTCTTTTTAAAAAGGTTTTCTTCAAAGTTAAAATCTGACCAAAAAACAATGACATCAGGTATGAATCCACCGACGTAGAACATAAAGACGACAGTTCACCAAAAAACATGCCGTGTTAACTCCTAACTAAACACGACCAACTGTTCTTATTCCGCGTCGTATAATATAATGGAATCCACGCGGTATACTACGACGGTGCCTTCTCTGTAAACCGCCGTCTTAATTTTTATTTCTTTTTAAGATTTAATTATTTTTTAATTTTGGTGGCCTACGAAAATTAAAATGAGATCCCAAGAGGTATGATATCTTACCATTGAGATCTTTGGATCCTGATCATAATCGAACCACCAAAGTGAGAAAGACAATATTTTAAATACACAAAATCCAAAAAGAAACCAGAACTGAACTGACCACTGCAAACTTTGAGAAAGACAATGTTTTGAAAGTTAATGATGCGTGCGTCTTGGTGTCTTTGAGATACACCAAAACGCATACATCATTAACATCCAAATTATTGTCTTTGAGATGTGAGAGAGAGTGATGATGTATGTGTGTATGTGAGAGAGGAAGACGAGCCAAAAAGTAAATAGCTAGCGAAATCTTTCTACATTCTCTTTCACGTGACACATCATCATGTGAGGAGAACACAAATAGGTAGGTATACACTCACTTACCGTGACGTCTCCTCTCTCTCTTTCATTTCATCACTCCATTTCATAAGTATAAATATGCTAAAGAATTGGAAGATATATTTCTATTTTTATTCTCATCATGTCGGTGAGAACCAAAATTTTGCTAACTAATTATTAAGTAAGAGGGTATGAATTGTTACCTCCCAAAGCATCAAGAAGAGTAGACTTGCCACAGCCAGAAGGACACATCAAGAAGAGTGATTTACATTTTTCTCACCTTAGATCTTTCTACTGCCAATGTTTATACGAGTACATATTACTGATAATGCAAGAGGACAACGTCCACTCGTTGGCTAGTACGGTACCTAAATTGGTTAGAAGTCAAGCATTTTTTAATGCACAACTTTCATTATTCAACTTAAATTTTTATTTTTATTTTTTTAAATTTTTAAAAACCCAAAGCACTAGGAGTTCATCTTTTTAATATAAAATAAATGATTAGTCTAATTAGTTAGTTGTTTATTTTTTTTATTATCATAACAATATGAGGTACGTATTATAAAAATATAAGGTTATTATTTGAGAATCACTTTGAGAGTGATTTTACGTAGGCCTATAATCACTTTTATGAGGAAACACTTTGCCATATAATCACTATTAAGTTGTTTTAAGTGATTTTATAGAGAAGTGCATGGAATGTGCTTCTCCCTAAATCGCTTAGCACATGAAATATGCTTCTTCTTATAAGTAATTCTGACCATCCCATAATCACTTTCAAACCAACTGTTATATAGTTTATAGCAACAAAGATTAATCCGCGGGAAATGGTGTTCAGCATAAACCACCCTCACATCTTCATGGACACCACACAAGCATCAATCAGTCATAAACCACCCTAACATCTTCATGGACAAATAATGTTGACTCAAACACACTAACCGGCCATCATATAAACAGGTTTTCAGCACAATGTGTGGTAGGAGCAAGGTCTAAAATATCGATGATATCGGAAATATCGGTAGTCCAAAAACACAGAAATTTCGATGGAAATATCGGGATAGCACCTATATTGGTTAGAAGTCAAGCATTTTTTAATGCACAACTTTATTATTCAACTTAGATTTTTTTTATAAAAAATAAATTTTAGAAAAACCCAAAGCACTAGGAGTTCATCTTTTTAATATAAAATAAATGATTATCTAATTATTTATTGTTTATTTTTTTTAGGGTTATTTGTAGCAATGATCCCTCTACTATACTCGAAGTTGTTTATTTTTTTTATTATCATAACAATGAGGTACGAAATATAAAAATCTGAGGTTATTATTTGAGAATCATTTTGAGAGTGATTTTTACGTAGACCAATAATCACTTTTATGGAGAAACACTTTGCCATGTAATCACTATTAAGTGGTTTTAAGTGATTTTATGGATAAGTATATGGGAGGTGCTTGTCTCTAAAATCGCTTAACACGTGAAATATGCTTCTTCCTATAAGTAATTCTGACCATCCCATAATCACTTCCAAAGCGACTGTTATATAGTTTATAGTAACAAAGATTAATCCGTGGGAAATGGTGTTCGCCCAAGTTGTGAGAGTGGCGTTTTAGGTTGTCTTTCTTGTGCTACAATGGTCTCCTCGTACATTTTAAACATGAGTAACTTTTGATCGAGTCTACCTGAGGACATTCAGAATAAACAAAAAACTGCACGTCTTCATGGACACCACACAAGTATCAATCAGTCATAAACCACCCTCACATCTTCATGGACAAATAATGTTGACTCAAACACACTAATCGGCCACCATATAAACAGGTTTTCAGCACAATGTGCGGATAGCCACAGTTGCCCCTACATTTGCACGATTTCGGGTAACTAGGTATGTTCTACTAGAAAGTAAGAACATAAAAAAGAATAAAATACATGAGTGTCGTACATAGAGCACCAAGAGCCACAATTTTGTGGTTTGCCAAGGGACTTCAACTCCGTTGGGCCACCCCTGTGTGAACATATAACAAATTTCCGATGTGAAACTATATATCCGTCAAGTTCAATGTGTAACACACCACATGTCAATGTGTTAGGTATCTCACAATAAATAGGTGAATAAATACCTTGGTCGTACCATGTCCTTGGTGTTACAAATCTTACAAAAATGTCTGTACCATTTGTACAAATTAAGAAACCGTAGTTATATGTAAGATCAATATATACAATGTCTATTTATCTATAAGAATCATTAATGTTTTTGATAAGATTGTTTTAAACTCTTTTGGTTTTTTTAAACACCGAAGGAAAGCCAACATGGTCTAGCCTAGTGGAAAAATGGTCTTAACTTGCAGACCAGAGGTTTCATGTTCGAATCTCCACAACATCATAATTGTGTGTATGTGAGAAATCTCTCTCCCCATAGTTTAAACTATCACTTGTACTAAAAATATATATAAAATCAAAACACCGAAGGAAATTACAAAGAGGATCCACCACAATGACCGGCAAAAGGCCCACATTGAAGAAATCAACAAACATCTTTTGCCCATTTGTCTAAAATTAAGGGGCGTTGTTCCCAAGACATCATGTAATTAATTTTTACCCTAGTTGTTACTCTACCAAAATTATCCTAAACTCCACACTCAAATTAACTTCAGCATCGAAGTGCCTTTGCCTGATAGCACACTATTGTTAAGGTCTCACTAATCTTCCTCTTTTTTTTTGTAGATAACACCTAGACGCAGGGCGACGACTAGAAGTGTCCTACAAGAGACGCAGCCTGCAAAGAAGCGTCCTAAGGTAGACGCAGGGTGCGTCAGGAATTTCCCAAAAGGAGGTCTCCATGCTTTCTGAAGGAGGTATTCAAGTTCCTATCCGTTTCTTAAGGAGGGCATGATAGTCATACAGTTGCCCATAAATAGCGTCCTAAGGGAGATGCAGGGAAATGACCAGAAGCGTCCTACGGGAGACGCAACCCGCAAAGAAGCGTCCTAAGGGAGATTCGGGGGTGCACCAGAAATTTCCCAAGGGAGGTCTCCATGTTTCCTGAGGGAGGTATCCAAGTTCCTATCAGTTTCCTAAGAGAGGCAGGATAGTCATACAGTTGCCCATAAGCAGCGTCCTTCGGGAGACGCATGGCGACGACCAAAGCATCTTACGAGAAATGCAGAACATGCCCGGAGTCCTTTAAGGGGGACCCTGGCACTTGTCAATTTCCTAAGGGAAATCATCCTACTGGATATGCAGAACATGCCTGGAGTCCTTCAAGGGGGACCCTAACACTTGTCAATTTCCTAAAGAAAAACATCCTACGAGATATGCAGAGCACGTCCAGAATCCCCCAATGGGGACCCTGGCACTTATAAACTTCCTAAGGGGATACACAAGCAAGACACTAGCTGGTTACTCAAGCAGTTCACAGGTCAATATGCAAATTGAAGTTGAAAAAATAACTGAAATTTCCATAGCAAGCTGACCAACCGGCCAAGTTCAACAAAAAGAAGATAGTCAAACAAGACCAATTATTCTAAACAAGAAAGTAGACTACAAAAGCTGAAAAGAAATAAAGAAGTCTTCGTTTACTCTGAGACGCCGGTAGGAGACCCCTGATCGGCAACTTCACCTGCCTGATCCGCGACATCTGACACCACCTCATCAGCTGCATCATCTTCAGCTACCGCCTCTTCGGCCACCTGCTCTTCAGCTCTTTCTATGTTCACAACATTAACCTGCTCACTTTGCACAGGGAGTAAGTCAGGGAAGAGCATCTCGATGTCTCCATGTTCAATTGCATAGAAGGGAGCAATCCCATTTGTGTAGTGCAGGTAACCCAGCTTATATGCATCTATGGTAGCTTCGAATTTGGATTTTTCAGCGGACATGTGGTAGACGCGAAGTCTAGCCAAAAGCTTGTCATAACTAAAGGAGACGTCAGCGTTCTTGCGCTCAAGACTGAAGTAGGCATATTTTCGACTAATCAAGTCAATAGCAGAAAAGGGGGCAACAACAGACGAGATTCGGATAGTTTCAACAGCAAAAACTACTCCTCTTTGAAGCAGATGAAATGTTACTTCCCTTTGTTTTTCCAAAGAAAGACTTGAGACTGTGTCAAGATCACTAGCCTGATGGATATGATCAACCAGCTTGAAGCAAGCAAACGGCCTTGATAGAAGGTTCGTCTTCAATGGATCAGACACGCATGCATCCCCTGTAGGGTTGGACTTGTCCACCTCGGGATTAGCTACCGAGGTTGTAGAAGAACCCTTCACCCGGACAAATGACTCTCTCATCTTCTTAGCCGCCACCATCCTCACCTCCACAGGAGTCGACGATGCTGAATCAACTCTACGCTCGACTACTAGTGACTCAACAACTGGATCGCGATAGTTGGGCCTAGTTCGATCTCCATCCCTTGACTGGTGTAGACGACTCGAACTTTGAAGAGGAATACCGACATCTCTTTGCTTCTAGGCAGGAGAGCTAGTTCGCGAGCGGACTACTTCATGAAGCAGATCACGGTTTCGAAGCTTGTCAACAGGAGGCTTGAGTAGAACATCCCAAGCACTGCGCATACCACCAACCTTCCTGTTATTTGCACCAGCAAGATGTTTAACCCTAGCAGATGACGAGGGAACATCTCATACTTGAGTCTTCTTAGTAGAAGGGAGTTTTGGCTTCTTTCTCAACGGAGACACATTATTCGCCCGTAAAGTCGCAACTCCATTTCTTAAAGACTTGACATCAGCCTTCCTTTTTTAGGGAAGTCCGGCAGAACACTCCTCCTGCCTAGCTAACATATCATCAGAGTCTGGACCATTTTGCCTCCATCTCTCAACATCCTGGGCAGAGGGCAGACCACCAACTTCCTCCCGATACTTGCCTAGCTAACGAGGCCCGCAACGCATGAGGCCAAGCATGCTCTAGCTCAGACCTGTGACGATAGGCAGTAGCTGGTCCACCTGCGCGCACCTGCTCCACCACGGCTACTACCTACTGCATGCGGTCGCCTGTCACGACGACAACTAGCCGGGCTCCCCTAGTTGATCCTTGAAGCAAAAAAGAAGAAAAGATGAAGAAAAAGAAATATACGTGCTCGACTTACCTTGGGATGCACGACGACTCCTCTCTTCAACGAGCAGTACAAATTCTCCAATATCTCTCTCAAGCTAAAAAGTAGAGAAGTTAAGTTTGCGATGTGAAGAAGAGTGCAGAAAAGCCATGCATTTATACAGGTTGGGCATCCTAGGCCAAGAACA